AGAAGCGATTATGAGGCTGTCACTGAGGAGCGTGATCTGCTGAGGCAGGAAATGTTACAGAAGGTGGAAGAAATGAAGGTAACCTTGGAAACTCTTCATTTCTTTTCTTGAGCACTTTGAGATATGCTCTATTTTTTGCTGACGAGTTAATTTAGGCGGATGAACATCAATCCATGCGAAAAATGCGGTCTCTATGTGAACAGATAACTCGGGATCTAAATCAGGTAACTGATGACGCCCCGTTTAATGTGTACGATTTGTGCATTGGGAATTGGTTCCCTGTCCATTAAAAGGATTCGCAACTTGCGATCCATATTTTTGAATTGCCAAAGTCCCATTTCACGGCGCAGTTCGTCGACGGGAGGGGGAGGGGCATTTGCACTTTGCTACTAACCAGAGAGCTATTTCATGAGCTCACAAGGGTTGACAGGTTTTATCATGGTAGCTCGACGAGCCTACTCTAGCTTAACGAGTGTTCACAGGCTTTACCACAGCGAAAACCAGAACTACCGCAGTGAAAGTGCAGAATGCCCCCACTGTCGCCGAACAGCGCCCCATTTCACTTAAAACTTTGAGTGTTTGCTAAGTGTAATTAGGGCTTGTTTACGACGGTGTCAGAATTCTAGAAGAAACTCATTGGGTTGAAGAACTTGTCTCCTCTGGTTTATTCAGTTCTGAGGCAAAAGTAGTAGCTGATTAGAGGAGTCGCAACACTGCTAAGACGCCTCAGAAACAACCGAATTTGGGCTATGGAGATGGAAACCTACTCGAGAGAAAAATTCTTTATTCATATCGCGCATGTCCTACGTTGGGAATCCCCAGTGAGAGGGTCGTACTTGGTCTGACCAAAGCAAGGGATTTTTCGATAGTTGATTTTTCCTTTTTTCAGGCGCTATCCACATCGCTGGGAGAATGCCAGTGGGGGGATGACATTTGGTCATGAGTTTCAAAAGCTGACAGGTTTACCGTCCGCGGTAGTTCGCTGCGGACGGTTGGGCGTGTCAGGCAGTATGAGTGTGTCACCCCGTCAAAGCCGTTCTCTGCCTTCTTGTTGAAGCGCGCATGCGACAAAAAGTGGTAGAAAACGAGTAATACGAACGATATGATACAGTCATATCACTTGCTCGCTTTAACTGGTGGAGAACGGGTTTGGCACCGCGCCAAACTCCCACGCCCAACCGTCCGCAGCGAACTACACTATAGTTTTGGGAAATTTCGATAGAAGTGGTGGGAAGCTTAGAAAAGTTGGCAAGAGAGACAAGACATTGGGTGGAAAAGGGAGGAGTGGGCGAGGGGGGGACGGGGTTGGGGAGGTTCGCAGCAGAGGACAAATTAGGGGATGCACATTTTTTTTTCCGAATTTTTCCACCCCAAGGGCAGCAGGAGTGCGCCTGATTTCAGGGTATAGCTCTATTTTTTGCCCCACTTGAACTTGCTGCAGTGTGTGTTCACCGCTGGCGGTCAGGGCGGCATCGCGCCAAATAGGTCCTGTTCCGCGAGGATTCGGACGCTATTGCGGAATCGTTGGTTGCATATAGATTCCGCCCAAGTGGGGATTGGGCGAGCAGGCAAAGCTGACGATGTGCTGGACCTCTGTCTGATCGATACGTATCTAATTCGTTTCGTGATTACGTCCGATTCGTCCACCCGCTCCACCGACTCTGCTTGTTGATTCTTACCAAAACTTATCGCGAATTCGCTCGTTTTGCTGATTCCGCAGTGTTGGAGACTCTGAACGACGCTCAGCCTATAACTGCTGCTTAACATAGTGAATTTTTGGAGTATTGTGCTGTCCCGGAGTCTCGTTTTATCTGAATGTGTGGTAGCGGTGCAAAGCTCCAACTTTTATTTCAAGAAACTTATGAGACAACAAAGGTCTTCTAGTTCATGTCAAAAATATAATGAAAAAAAAATGAAATATAATGAAATTGTTATATGCGTTAGTCTTGTACTACTTGTATTTGTTTGTTCGTTTGTTCACTGTAAATAATTAAAGAGGAAGAAAGAAACAAGTCTTTTGAAGAGAACACTCCAAGAAAAAGAGATGGTTCGTTGATCTTCTTCCCTTTTGTTCCTAATTACTAATACTCAAGCTCTTTAGATGAGAACAGAATCCGATATGTTGCGAATGGAATTCGAGCAGTCGCTTGCTGCACATAGTAAACAGGTATGAAAATTGCGTTTCTTAGCCTTCTTTCTTGCTTACGCTAACCCTAAAAGCCATGATCATTGGCTTGGAATTCTAAAATTAAATCAAAAATTAAATTAAATTAGAAATTGAAATTTATTTAAATCTTTACGTCATCTAGCTAGTTGCTTTCACACACACTTTACATGCAGTGCACGTTCTTGTCAACGAACCTTTACCCCCCTTCCATCCTTCGGTCCCGAAGTTTCTGGACTACATTGCTTGCCGCCTTCGCTTGGAATATTTTGCCTGCACTCCAGCTGAAACGAGGGCATGTGAAATATAATAAAGTGTGCTTTGGAGGGGTACAAATCAGTCATAAATGCCGTAATCGTAAGGAGTGATGTTAATGGGAAGTATTGATGTTATTACGACCGTAATGCAGTTTTCGTATTCAGGACGCAAAGCAGCAGGATATCAAAGTGTTGTTCGGTACGCTGAAGACCCAAAATTATCAGCTGAATTCGGATGTTGCGAAATATCGGAAAAAGTGGAAAGAGGGAGTCAACACCAATTATAAGGTATGGAGGTTGTATGAAAGTTTTACGAAATCTTATTAGTTGCTGAACCCACTGAATTTGAGATACAAACGGAACTTGATGGCGAAAGGCGACGACTGGAGCGCTGTCTCGTCATAGAGTTAGACGACGAAGATTCGAATGAGCTTGCCAGCCCAGATCAGTCACGAGATGACCTCGACGTTAGCGACGATGCCAATGGGGAGAAGGTACTGATTGCTCTCCCTTCAAGTTTTGGACTCTAATTCCCTTTTAATATAATGTTTTTTCTGATAATGAGTTTCTTGTTTCGGTCCTTAATGAAGAAGTCCCCATTTACCTGAACGAGTCACACTTTCTTAGCTGTCAGGGTTTCTTCCATTCAAAAAGAAGTGCTTTAGAAGCTGACATCGGTTTGATTTTGTTTCGTTACAGCATCAGCAGTTTACAAGCGAAAATCTTGGAATTGAAGCTCAAACTGGAAGTATATGCAGACATAGGAACGGATGTGAGAGATAAAGCGGAGGTAGCCTATTTTTGTTCACTCTTTTCTAAGATCTGTTCATTCAGAGGATTCATGTTTCAGCTTCTTGGTCCGTGAACGCCGGCTGAAAAGGGAAAATGAGCGTTTAATACACCAGATTAAACGTTTGGGAAATATTGAACGAAAAGAGAGGATGCGATATTTTGAGGTATGTTATTATTTTTGATTTTTACTTTGCTACTTTTTGGTCAATGTAGTTGCGTATACTCGTTACTTACTATAGTGTTCATCTAGCGCTATACGATTATTTGAAGGGCGCGGAACTATTCACTACTGATCGGTTCATAACAGTTCTGAAACTAGAGTTCTCATTCTAATGTGTATTCTTTAGAT